ACAAATCATAAAAAGACTACAAAACCCATCTATATATGTCTAATTAGCTAAAAGGTTGCAGGTTTAGCATCCCTTTGTTTCCATGGCGCTGGCAAATGTCTCTCTCTTCTATTTCCAGTGAAGGAGCCGCATAAATAAACGAGACTAACACTGGGAGCTGTCCGTGGTCCTGAACATAACCACAGATAATCCAAACATGAGGCTGTGGGGATGAGAAAGCAAAATTATTCCTCTCATGAACGCGGAGCAGCAATATTCATTGGAAAACACCTGTCAGTCTCTTTCTCATTCTCTCTCTCTGTCAGTTTTTTTTCTTATTAATTCTTTCTCTAGCAGTCTCTGTCTCTCTTTCTGTCTCTCAGTCTCTTTGTCACTCTCCACTGTCTCTCTGTCAGTCTTTATTTCTCGCTGTTAGTCTCTCTCAGTCTCTTTGTCACTCTCTCTACTCTCTGTAAGTGTTTTTTCTCTCTCTGCCAATCTCTTTCTCTCTGTCAGTCACTCTCTCTTTCTCTCTCTCAGTCTTTCGTCACTCTCTCGCTGTCAGTCTCTCTTTCACTCAGTCTCTTTGTCATTCTCTCCACTGTCAGTGTTTTTCTCTCTCTGTCAATCTCTTTCTCTCTCTCAGTCTCTCTCTCTTTCTCTCTCTTAGTCTCTTTGTCACTCTCTCCACTCTCTGTCAGTGTTTGTTTCCCTCTCAGTCACTCTCTTTCTCTGTCGGCCTCTCTCTCTGTTTCTCCCAGTCTTTGTCACTCTCTCCACTCTGTCACTCTCTTTCTCTCTGTCAGTCTCTCCCTCTTTCTCTCATTCTCTCTCTCTGTCAGTTTTTTCTTATTAATTCTTTCTCTAGCAGTCTCCGTCTCTCTTTCTGTCTCTCAGTTTCTTTGTCACTCTCCACTGTCTCTCTGTCAGTCTTTATTTCTCTCTGTTAGTCTTTTTGTCACTTTCTCTACTTTATGTAAGTGTTTCTTTCTCTCTCTGTCAATCTCTTTCTCTCTGTCAGTCACTCTCTCTTTCTCTCTGTCTTTTGTCACTCTCTCCACTCTCTCTCGCTGTCAGTCACTCTGTCTCTCTTTCACTCAGTCTCTTTGTCACTCTCTCCACTCTGCCACTCTTTCTCTCTGTCAGTCTCTCCCTCTTTCTCTCAGTCTCTCTCTCTTTCTCTCTCTTAGTCTCTTAGTCACTCTCTCCACTCTCTGTCAGTGTTTCTTTCCCTCTCAGTCACTCTCTTTCTCTGTCGGCCTCTCTCTCTGTTTCTCCCAGTCTTTGTCACTCTCTCCACTCTGTCACTCTCTTTCTCTCTGTCAGTCTCTCCCTCTTTCTCTCAGTCTCTCTCTCTTTCTCTCTCTCTGTCTTTTATCACTCTCCCACACTCTGTCAATCTCTTTTTCTCTGTCAGTCACTCTCTCTTTCTCTCTCTCAGCCTCTTTGTCACTCTCTCACTCTGTCTGTGTTTCTTTCTCTCTCTGCCAATCTCTTTCTTTCTGTCAGTCACTCTCTCTATGTCCCTCTCTTTCTCTCTCTCAGTCTCTTTGTCACTCTCTCCACTCTCTCTGTCAGTCTCTTTCTCTCAGTCAGTCTCTCTCTTTCTCTCTCTCAGTCACCCTCTCTTTCTCTCTCAGTCTTTTGTCACTCTCACCACTCTCTGTCAGTCTCTTTCTGTCAGTCACTGTCTCTTTCTCTCTGTCTCTCTCTTACTCTCAGTCTCTTTGTCGCTCTCTCCACTCTGTGTTTCTTTCTCTCTCTGTAAATCTCTTTTTCTCTGTCAGTCACTCTCTCAGTCTCTCTGTTTCTCTCTCCCAGTCTTTTGTCACTCTCTACACTCTGTCACTCTCTTTCTGTCTGTCTCTCTCTTTCTCTCAGTCTCTTTGTCGCTCTCTCCACTCTGTGTTTCTTTCTCTCTCTGTAAATCTCTTTTTCTCTGTCAGTCACTCTCTCAGTCTCTCTGTTTCTCTCTCCCAGTCTTTTGTCACTCTCTACACTCTGTCACTCTCTTTCTGTCTGTCTCTCTCTTTCTCTCAGTCTCTTTGTCACTCTCTCTACTCTGTCCGTGTTTCTTTCTCTCTGTCAATCTCTTTTTCTTTGTCAGTCCCACTCTCTTTCTCTCTCCCTCTCTGTCCATGGTCCTGAACATAACCACAGATTATACAAACATGAGGCTGTGGGGATGAGAAAGCAACATTATTCCTCCCTTTCCCTTTGCCATTTCAGAATATTTACTGGAAAACACCTGTGAAATGGGCCCCTGAATCACAGATAAGCCGACTGTTATGGCCTGGAGACGACCTACTGCATATTGTTGTCTCTGCTGTAAATGTATTTAAATAAGATCAACACTGGTCATATGAAAGATCATTTTGTTTCACATTCATCTTATGACACCTAAGCCTGGAGGAGACGGGAGGAAATCTCTCTTTAAAGCTCCTATATTACGTGAAATGGACTCTTGGGAGCTTCAAGTCGTGTTATAATGTCATATTATCAAAAATATACCTTTTATTATTAGTCTGTCTACATCTCCAAAGCTCAAAATGCTCTATTCCACCTTGTGATGTCATTGCTTCTTTTGCTGTTTTGCTTTAATATTACTTTTGGAGTTGATTTATGTCTCTTGTTGTTTTGATTTTGTGGTAAGTATTACACCAGATGCCCTCCTTTATGCATGTAACAATATCGATATCTCACAGTACGATATTATCATGATATTTATCCCACGGTATGAGATTTATTGTGATAATAAAATTGTAGATAGGACACTTTTTGCCTTTAAAATATCTCAACAAGCCTGTGGTGACTGAAGGTGTGAATCCTTACATTACATTACATTACATTAGATAATCCTAAGAATTAAATAAAAAAACATATTTCTTCATGTTGTCTGCACGGAAATGAATTATGGGATATGTAGTTTCCTATGTTTATAAGCTGTTGCTACTATAATACCATGCATTTAAGCAAAGGAACTTGTAATTCATTATACTGTGACAGCTCTCGATATTATTGTGACTTTTGACGATACAGTATCACGATATTTTGATTTTAGTTACATCCCTAGTATCCAGGCTTGGGGCTGACACAAACAATACACTGCTGGTCTAATTTAAGCAGTTTTTATACAAACTAAGACTGAATTGAAGTTATTAGGGATGCGACGAGACAAAATTTTCACAAGATGAGATGAGATTGGGTCCAGGAGAACGAGACAAGACGAGACTTTAACATAATTCCCAATATATAAATTTGGCAGTTCAGCTTCCGATTTTAATTTCATAGTTTTGTTGCTACTTTTTGGAACTGTAAAATATGTAATCCACTAACACGTAACTTTTTTTATCCAATCCAAATGTACGTAAAAGCTCGGAAAAAAAATCTGACGAGATAATTTTTCTCATGCGTGTACGATCTTGTGCCAATTTTTTCTCACGAGATCTTGTGGTACAATCTTTAGAAATTATGATTCTTTCAAAATTACGATTTGCTAAATGCACCCACATAGCAATTTCGATTAAATTTTGATTAATCTTGCAGCCCTAACTGACAATATGATGTAGTTTGACCGCATATGTTATAGATATACTCCATCCAAAACAAAAACAAAACACAAAAAACTGTCTAACTTGAGACTAGTTCAAAAATATATGAGTGAGTGACCAAGCCAACCTTAAGTAAACTTTAAATTAAATCTCTAAAATACTGCGATAAAAATTCCACTTTAAATTCATGGCCATTTTGTGACACCAAACTCTATATCGAAGCCATATTTTCTTACTTTACTCCCCCACTTACCTCTGCTCCATCTCCTACTCCGAAAGGTGTAGTCCATCATTTTCAAGTACCTGCTTTTCTTTTACTGCGCAGCTCGAGTAGACAAGGCAATAGTGGCTCCCCGTGACCTTTGACCCCATCTGGTGAAGCCGTATACCTGGCCGCCACTTTGTTTTACGATCACTCTCTTTCTCTGTCAGGCTCCATCGTTCTCTCTCTCTTTGTCAGTTTCTTTCTCATTGTCTCTCTCTTTCTGTCAGTCTCCTTCTATCTCTTTCCATCAGTCTCGCTCTCTTACTTTCACTTTCTTTCACTGTCTCTCTCTCTCTCCCAGTCTCACTCTCTCCGTCTGTCTTTTTCCTACTATCTCTCTCTGTCAGCTTCTATCTCTCTCTCTGTGTCAGTCTTTTTCTCACTATCTCTCTCTCTCTGTCTGCCTCTCTCACTCTCTCTGTCAGTCTCTTTCTCACTCTTGCTTTGTCAGTTTCTTTCTCTCTGTCTCTTTCTCACACGGTCTTCTCTGTTCTCTCTTACGCTCTCTTTCTCTCGCTCTGTCAGTCTCCTTTTATCTCATTCTATTGGTCTCTCTCTCACTCTTTCAGTTTCTTTCACTGTCTCCCTCTCTCTCTCTCTCTCTCTCTCTCTCCCTGTCTCACTCTGTCAGTCTTTTTCTCACTATCTTTCTCTCTGTCTCTGTCAGTCTCTCTCTGTTTCTTACCCTCTCTGTCAGTTGCTCTGTCTCTTACACTCTCCCTCTTTCTTTCAGTCTTTTCTCTCTCTCTCTTTCTCTCTCTGTCAGTCTCCTATCTCTTTCTATCAGTCTCTCTCTCACTCTTTCAGTTTTTTCACTGTCTCTCTCTGCGTCTCTCTCTCCCTGTCTCACTTACTCTGTCAGTCTTTTTCTCACTATCTCTCTCTATCAGTCTCTATCTCTTTGTCTCTCCCTCTTTCTCTCTCTCTCTTTTTCTGTCAGTCTCTTTCTCCCTCTCTCTCTCTTTCTGTCAGTCTTTCTCTCTTTGTCAGTGTCTTTCTCACTCTCTTTCTGTGTCTCTTTCAGTCTCTTTCTCCCTCTCCTTTTCTCCCTCTCTGTCAGTCTCTTTCTATTGTATATGTAATGTAAATACTTGAGTTTATTTTTTATGTAATAGTACAAGGTGTAAACATGTTTTTGACGGACACAATAAAGACCTGTTAAAAATCTCTCTCTTTCTCCTTTTCTTTCGCTCTTTTGGTCTTACCGAGGGCGACTCTGGCTGCTGAAGCGTCGTAGTTGATCCAGAAGGAGACCCAGGACAGGATGGTGATGAGGATGGAGGGCATGTAGGTCTGGAGGATGAAGTAACCGATGTTTCTCTTCAGTTTAAAGCTCAGAGAGAGACGAGGATAGGCACCTGAGAAAAAAAAAAACATTGTTAAAGGGTATATATTAGACTATTTTTCCATATTCTATACCTCCAGACTTTTACCCCTGCTGGCCATGTTGAGTACTGCATCACGTAGCTACAAAAACAACCCCACAATTGCACATATGTGGTTCGGAGCGTCACACGTTCTATTTTTAGCCCTGACTCGAGTCCATTGTCCTAAATATAGTCCGTGAAAATGTACACATGATCTGGCCCGTGATCAGAGGTGCATCGTGGATCACGCAGGGACACCTTCTGTTTTTGTTTCAGTTTCCATGACGACACGGCAGCATGGGCCGGACTTATCTCCATGGTAACAGGCATCCCTTGTTGAGCACCTTCAGAAACACGCCATGCATACAACTGTAGAACTCGGTTTGTGTTAAAATTTTGGCAAGGTGACGGTGACGGCAAAGGGTGAGTCTAATACTGGTCTAGAACAGGTCTAGTCCTGGTTTAGTCCTGGTTTAAATCTGATGTGCAGACATGAAATTAGACGTGTATTTAATCCTGGTTTACTTGATACAGGTATTATTCTTTCTAACCCTTGTGTAGTCCTGGTTAAGTCCTGTTCTGGTCCAAGTCTATGGTTGGGCCTGTTTTAGTCCTGGTTTAAATCTGATGTGTTGACCTGAAATCAGATTTGTATTCAATCCAGGTTTACTTGATACAGGTGTTATTCTTTCTAACTCTCATTTAGTCCTGGTTTAGTCCTGGTAGGGTCCACGTCAATAACTGAGCCTGTTGTAGTCCTGGTTTAGTCTTGGATTAGTCCTGGTTTAATCCTGGTCTGGTCCAAGTCTATGATTGGACGTCTTGTAGTCCTGGTTTAAATCTGATGTCTTGACCTGAAATCAGACTTGTATTTAATCCTGGTTTACTTGACACATATATTATTCTTTCTAGCCCTTGTTTAGTCCTGGTTTAGTCCTGGTCTGGTACAAGTCTATGATTAGACCTGTTGTAGGTCTGGTTTAATCCTGGTTTGATCCAGATATTATTCTCTCTATTTAGGCTGCAGTCACACTTGCTCAAACTAGATCAAAATCAGGACTTAACTGTGACTAAACCCAGGACTAAACCAGGTCTACATCAGAACTGAGCAGGACCAAACCAGAACATGCGTGAAGGTATCTTTAGATCTAGTCTGGGGTTGGTCCAGTTTTAGTCCTGGTTTAGACCTGGTTTAGTAAAGCTTATACAATGTTCAATACTGATATTTACTACCCAGTTATTTTAAGTTTAGTTTTAGTCCTGGTCTATATTTGGTCCACCTTTAGTCCTGCTTAGAACTAGTCAAATCCTGGTCTTGATTTCTAACTATTTCTGTCTTTTTTCCATCTTTTGTTTAAATTTTTTACGTTACTTATACATTTACATTTATATAATTATGCCTTACATCAGTCTCTTGCTATTTTTGCTACTTATTTAGAATTTCTCGTTACCATTTATAGTCTCTTTCTTATTATATTATATTGTGATGTGTGAGCTACTCCGTCCAAATAATTTCCCTTGTGGATCAATAAAGTTTGTGTAAATCATGTTTACTGATCTACAATGTCACATTATACTAACCAAATGGCTTTTAAATCATTTCTTTGCCAACCAAGTGTCTACCTAGATATAAAAATGCTTTGTTTATGGCTCACAGTGCTCGCAATTCTCAGACCCGTCTCTCCACAGTGCTGTCTTTATGGTACCGTTGGTCCATAGGGGGCGCTATAGCAGTGATTTCCATTGCGTGGGCTTTCATGTTTTGCTACGTGCGAAGCGTGGGTCTGGCTTGAGCTGCATGTGAAGTTGGAAGTACAGACTCATTAGGATGCATTGCCTTCTGTATGTTACACAAGTGTTATGTGAGAAAACACCAGAGAATTTGCACTTGAAAAGAAACGCGCTTAATATATGTGTTTTAACAGTAATGTAAAGAGGTGGACTCGAGCACAGGATTTAATATTAACTTCAATTTAAAGGTCCTATATTGCACAAAACTGACTCTTGTGAGCTTTAATTCATGTTTTAATGTTGTTACCTCCTCAAAAACAGACCTGGACTTGTTTCATTCACACATATTTGAGTAATCTTTTATTATTAGTCTGTCTGCATTTCCCAAGCTCAAAATGCTCTGGTGCACTTTGTGATGTTGTGAAGCGGTTTTTAAGAGCCCTTCAACAGCTTCTTTTTACCTATAGTTCAGTAGAGGTCGACAATTCCAGGTCTGAAATCATCTAAGTGATTCTAGTGAAGATGTACGGAGTTTAAAAGCAAAGCGGAGTACTTCCACTATTACCACATGACATTACAACGTGGAACAGAGTGTTTTCTGTTTGAGAGAAGAATTTAAATATGCAGGATTTGAGAGTTAAACAAAACACAACTCCAGGTATGTTTGAGATGAGGAAACAACATTAAAACATAGATCAGAAAATAGTGTACCATATTTTTCAGACTATAAGGCGCACTGGATGATGAAGCGTAATATGAATAATGTTGAATTCTCTTGTCTATTTTCACACATAAGGCTCACCGGATTATAAGGCGCATTAAGTGAAATAAGAAGATGACACTTGAGACTGATACTTAAGCCCAGACATCCACAATCCATTGGCAGATCGTGGCGTAATTCGTCCGGCGTTGCCTCCCTGTCTTGGTGAATGTGGGTTATGAATGTGGGTGCATAATTTAAGGTTTTTGTTTTTTTTCCTACAAGGAGGACTCAAATATACACTGAGTAATAGGTGTTCAAAGCAGCTTTGCGAACATTTGTTTACGTTTTACAGGAAAAAAACTTAAAACCACATGGCTAATTTGCATAAACTATAAGCTCTGGAAAAAAAAAAAAAAAAAAAAAAGCTTGCTGATGTCGGACTACAGGACACGACTCAGTGGAATATGTTAGTTCTTTGTGAGGCTCCTGACTACAGTAGCTAAAATGCTCCGACAATCCATCAAGCAGTGCGGCTTCATAACTTATCAAAGTCATACAAAAACATTTTGACAGATTTTTGAACGCCGTGTACCACATACAATCAGTTTGAGGTCAATAAGCTCAACCAAAATTAATACATAAGGTGCACTGTTGATTTTTGAGAAAAGTAAAGGATCTTAAGTGCGCCTTATAGTCCAAAAAATACTGTAATACGGGCCCAGATTTCAGATGAAAACTCTCGATCGCTCTACGTTCCAGAATGTATCCAGGTATCAAGTCATACGTTATATCATAAGAATACAGTTCACAGAGTGCATGGTCCTTCCACACGGTGATTTAAAGCCATTCGGGGACATTATGATGTACAGGGAGTCGATGGCTGTCACATGAAATCCCACAACATTATTGCAGCTCCCAGCATGCTTAGCAAAATGGATTTGATCATTGATTTTACAATAACAATAACGGTAGGCCCTGATATCCGCACTGTACATCTGAGGACACTAAAGCACACACTCCATTCACTGGCAAAATGTAAATAACAAATTATGACTTTATTCATTTATTATGTTTATGCTACCTGCTTGTTTCCATGGAAATGTTATTGATTTGCCTGGAATGTTTCATGGTATGACATTAAAAATATCCATCTAGCTTCTATTCATTACGGGTGTTTCTATTGCTCAAAATTGCAATAATTCTTCTGTGAATAGGGGCGCCTCTCCACAGAGTCGTAATGTAGCACAGTGCTGTAACCTGTACTGTGGAACATTCTAGACAAAGCAATAACATTTCCATGGAAACAAAACCAAAACCAATGGACCCCTAACCAAATAAGTAACAGAGTGGAGCTTTAATTATTTCTTTTAAATACAATTCCTACTTTTTTTTCTACTTTTATGTTGCAACCTTGGAATTTTCTATCAATGGTGCCTGCTCAAATAAGTGCCTAGTTTCGATACTAGTTTAAGTATCAATTAGTATCGATATTCAATACTTTTGACAACTCAAATTTTTATAATTTTTTGTTAATTGCCAGAATTGTTACATTTGCCATTGCACTATGTAATTTTTGATGGCTCTATCATCTGCTTGTCTCCATGGTTACGCTATAACTCACATATCCCACAGTAAGGCATTAAACGTGTCTGTCTCCATGCCCACAAGCAGATGACACCAAAAGATCAACTTACTGGTCAAATCTATGAAGGGGCAAGACGATCATAGTGAAAAATGCAGCGTTTTTCAATGTAATTCTTTTGGCAATCAAACACCTATATTTGATTAAACATTAAGATTATTTAATGCCATATTGTGGAACATCTCCATGGAGACAAGCAGGTGAACATAACAGTAGATCACTGCGTATAAAACAAATACAATTTTGAGCAGGTCTTTGCGTATAAAAATCCTTATATTTATCTAAATTGCCATAATCTACACATTCGTTTTCTTGGTCACATCTAAATGACGTCAGTGTTTCCATAGCGCGTCGCCATGACAACCGGTCCCTAATCATGTCCAGTAAAGAGCTCATTTTATCACCTTTAAGTGTCCGCGGAGTACACTATAAAAAACAAGGGCTGTCAAGTACTATCGGTATTGCAGTATTTCAGTTAACAGTTGCTCCGTTTTGCAGTTATAGGCGGCGTAAAATGGAAGAGGGACAAATGTGTGTTGTCGATATGCAGATTTTGTGGTGTGGTTGAGTGATGACTCTGGTGTCATGGAGCGAGCAGCTGCTTTAATACAAATCATCAGGTTCAACATTTGTGGATTTTCCTTTTGGATATTTATATTCTATATAATGAATACAGGAATACGGCACCTGCTCCCATCTCAGAAAAACATCGTCAAGTACTACTACTGCCACTACTTCTGCTGCGACTACTGCTGCGATGACTACTGCTACTGATTGCCACTGACTACGACTACTACTACTTACCACTGACAGCTACAACAACTACTACTACAACTACTACTGCTGATTACAACTGACTACTACTACTACTACTACTGGCAACTACTACTTCTACTACTACTCCTCCTTCTACTG